AATGACCTTGCCTAATATTTTGAGATTTCTTTCCAAAGACTGATATCTATTTCATCTGAATTTCTAATTTTTCAGATATGTTACTTGCATAATTCTAACGTATATTTATCCTATCTTTCTTTACCATCAACATACATACACACTATGAGGCTCCTATCAATGTCATTGGCAAATTTCCAGGAAAATGTGAAATGTTACCATTTATCAACACAAGAATCCTCAGAATTCCTATGTTACTTGTTTCACCTTTGATTAACTCAATAATGTAGGAACAGACCCCTGATGGGGACCTTGAACATAGTAGGTTCACTGAAACTCTGTGTATTGAAGATAAGATCCTTGTAAATCATTTACTATCTCTATGTAAAGATCTGATAAAGGGTTTGCTCTTGCCAGGTACACACAGTGTCACATATCATGTCAAAATAATAAGAGAAATATTTTTAAACACACAGAAAATGATGGCAATCGTTACACTGTAAATAAGCAAGTCAGAGCAGGTCTTTCTGATAAAGGAACATGGAAGGAGATTGTTGACTGAAGTATGAGAATGAATCCTACTGATACCAGGGGCAGCATTGCCTGCTGAGAGATGAGTGGGTGTAAAAGCCCAGACCCACAAGTGGTTTGGTGGGTTTATTATTGAGGATGTGCTTGGCAAAGGAAAGAAGAAGAAGGAGAGATGTTGGGTCACGCAAACATCTTTTCTTTGTATAAAGGACCTCAAACTATACTTTTGTTCAGTAAAAGTAAAGATCAGTAACAACCATTGCACAGAAAGAAATGAAATGTGTCATGTCAGATTAACTAAAGTATTTACAATTGCCAGGTCACTGTGATCTTTTCTTTGTCTCTCTACCTCTTCTTTTATGTCCCTATATTTGTTCTTTCCCTGTCTTTGATTTCTATACAATTAACAATATTTATTCCCACTGTTCTTACTCTGCCCCCTTTTAACCTTTCCAATCAGGCAGAGCTCAGTGAACAAGAGGAGCCTCAGTTCAGAACAGGTAGGAAGGAACAGGGACCAGCTACGATGGCTTCAGGAATCCTGGTGAACATAAAGGAGGTGATGACCTGCCCCATCTGCCTGGGGATCCTAACAGAACCCATGAGCCTGGACTGTGGGCACAGCTTCTGCCAAGCCTGCATCACTGCAAACAACAAGGAGTCCGTGAATGGCCAAGGAGAGAGCAGCTGCCCCGTGTGCAGGATCAGTTACCAGCCTGAGAACATGCGGTCTAGTCTGCATTTGGCTAACATTGTGGAGGTGCTCAGGGAGGTCAAGTTGAGCCCAGAGGAGGAGCAAAAGAGTGATCTCTGTGTGCACCATGGAGAGAAACTCCTGCTCTTCTGCAAGGAGCATGGGAAGATCATTTGCTGGCTTTGCGAGCGGTCCCAAGAGCACCGTGGTCACCACACCTTCCTATTGGAGGAAATTGCCCAGGAGTACAAGGTAATAGACTGGGATGGAGGAAAGACAGGGCAGAAAATAGCACTTGATGGCAAATCTTAACTTTGCATTTGACTATAATTATATTGCCACCATAACCCTGAGTCCTGTGTTCACTTTTCTTCCTATGCCCACCTTCCAAGACCTGAAAGACATTTCTGTGCATTCCACACAAATGATGAGCAGACTTTAAATCAGAAGTAGACAGTTTTATACCTTGTGCTAATAGGTGGAGGCTTGGTGCACAATGGAAGCTGTCATTGTCCCTTTGGACAGGAGAGTGAATCAAGACCTAAATTCTTTCCTTACACAGGATCAAGTTTTTTCTTCTAGGGCAAAGAGAGCTAGTCTTCTCTTGACATAGTAATGGTGACTTCTATCATCTGAGTCTTAAAGAACACATAACCACATCAGATTTCCTTCAAATCACAGATTTAAATTGTCATTTTGAAGTTTCTATAAACTCAAGTCTCTTTAGAGATCAACCTGATTTCTTCCCCATTTGTCCTCTCTTCTGATGATAAGAAAACCCAAAGCTTGACCCTGATGTGATTCCTCTCTCACAGGAGAAGCTCCAGAAAGCTCTGGACAGTCTGAGTGCAAAGCAGCAGGAAGCTGAAAAATTGAGAGCTGACCTTGAAAAGGAAACAACTTCCTGGAAGGTAGGAGGAAACTCTTCCTGAAGTAGCTAGACAAGATTCTGGGTAGGACCTTGGGTGTAGTCAGAAGGAGCTCCCTATCTTCTTGTTCCCTGGTAGTTGATATGTCCAGATTTATTGATTAGCCATTCTTCATCCTTTCCTTGGTAGGGGTTGGGCAGAATAT